CCTAAAGGCTAAATGATGGTGACATTGTAACAATTACTACATACTTTTTTTTTTTTTTTGAGACAGAGTCTCACTCTGTTGCCAGGCTGATGCAGTGGCACAATCTCAGCTCACTGCAACCTCTGCCTCCTGGGTTCAAGCAATTCTCCTGCCTCAGCCTCCCAAGAAGCTGGGACTACAGGCACACACCACCACGCCCAGCTAATTTTTGTATTTTTAGTATAGACAGGGTTTCACCATGTTGGCCAGGATGGTCTTGATCTCTTGACCTGGTGATCCACCCCCCTCAGCCTTCCGAAGTGCTGGGATTATAGGTGTGAGCCACTGTGCCTGGCACCTTTCTTTCTTTCTTTTTTTTTTTTGAGACAGAGTTTTGTTCTTGCTGCCCAGGCTGGAGTGCAATGGCATGATCTTGGCTCACTGCAACCTCTGCCTCCCAGGTGCAAGTGATTCTCCTGCCTCAGTCTCCCGAGTGGCTGGTATTACAGGTACCTGCCACCACTCCCGTCTAATTTTTGCATTTTTAGTAGAGACAGGGTTTCACCATGTTGGCCAGGCTGGTCTTGAACTCCTGACCTCAGGTGATCCGCCTGCCTTGGCCTCCCGAAGGGCTGGGATTACAAACGTGAGCCACTACACCCAGCCTACTACATATCATTTTTTTAAAAAAGAAAGTTAAGTTTTGGCCAGGTGCCATGGCTTATTTGGATTTTAATATTAAAATCTAAATATAGGCCTGGACAACATGATGGTGCACACCTGTAATCTTAGCTACTTTGGAGGCTGAGGTGGGAGAATCACTTGAATCCAGGGGTGGCTGTGGGGTGGAGGTTGCAGTGAGCCGAGATCACACCACTTCACTCCAGCCTGGGAGACAGAGCAAAACTCCATCTCAAAAGAAAAGAAAGTTAAGTCTTGCCTCATATATACTGAGGTATTTATGGATGAAATAGTATGATATTTAGGATTTGCTCAAAATTATCCAATAGTGGGGGTAGGGCAAGTGTGAAGCAGGGAAGTAGTGCGCAGATGAAGAAAAAGTGGCCAGGAGTTGAGAATTCTTGAAGCTGGATGATGAGTACCTAGGAGTTCATTGTAACACTCTTATTTTTTAACATCTGTGAAAATGTCTATAATGGAAAGTTGGTTTTAAAAAATTCCTATTACACCATGCATACCATAAATTTCTAGCTGGGTTAAAAAATGCAAATGGGCTTGGCATGGTGGCTCACACTTGTAATCTCAGCACCATGGAAATCGAGGTGGGCAGGTCACCTGAGGTCAGGAGTTTGAGACTAGCCTGGTCAACATGGTGAAACCCCATCTCTACAAAAATACAAAAATTAGTCAGGTGTGGTTGTGTGTACCTGTAATCCCAGCTACTCAGGATGCTGAGACATGAGAATCACTTGAACCCAGGAGGCGGAGGTTACGGTAAGCCAAGATCGCCACACCACTGCAATCCAGCCTGGGTGACAGAGCAAAACTCTGTCTAAAAAATACCAAAAAAATCCAAATGTAGGCCAGGTGCAGTGGTTCATGCCTATAATCCCAGCACTTTGGGAGGTTGAGGTGGGTAGATCATTTGAGCCTAGCAGTTTGAGACCAGCCTGGGCAACATAGTGAGACCCTGTCTCAAAAAAAAAGAAAAAAAAAAATCCAAAAGGAAATCCTGCAGCCTAAAGTAAGTGGCAATGACTTGGTAGTACGTACATCCTTTTAATTCTAAAAAATACTCTGTAATTTTAAAAAAAAGAAATCACAAGTCTCAAAAGAAAACATATGTAACTGTTTATATAATCTTTGGGTAGGGAGAGTTTCCTAAGCATAATAACAAAATCAGATTTTCCTGTGGCAGAATTTATAACTTTAGTATGTCAATAAAGACCATAAACAAAAGTAAATGCCAATCAACATGCTTAAGAAAAATATTTGCAGTATATAAATGACAAAAGATCAATAATATTAAAAGCTTTTGTAAATCGATAAGAAAATATGAATGTTCAGTATGACAATGAGCAAAATAGTGCACAGGCAAGGCACCAAAGAGATAGAAATGGCTGGCGTATGTGTGAAGAAATGTCCAGCCATCACAATCAAGGAATGCAAGTGAAACAGCTAGGCCGCTTTTCAGTTTCAAATTGGCAAGAGCACAGAGGCCAGATCATGAAGCTGAGGAGTTGGGCTGCAGTTGGTAGTGGACGAGGTACCCTTGAAGGAGTTGTGAGCATAGGAATCTGATGCCTTTACAGATGGAATAGAGCTGATGGCTGGGCCAGCAGTCTAGGTGTGAGGAGGTTGTGGTCTGGAAGAGCACAAAGCATGAGAAAAGAACAGTCGGGTTGAAAGCACTTGGAAGGAAAAAAACCAGTAGGTCTTGATGGTTATCAGAGAGAAAAATCAAGATGGCCAATGGTTTAGCTGGGAGGACAGTGACACCAAAAGAAATGGGTGCTGGGTAGTAGGTGACGAGAAGTCTGGGATTTGCTTTTGACACTGTGGGCCACTGTGTTAGTCTGGAGGCTTATTACTAGAGACTGGCAACTGACCCAAATGATTAAAGCTAGAAAAACATTTGCAGCCCTTCTTAATGGTCAAGTCCTGGGTTAGAGCTTCAGGCACATCTAGATGTGGAAACCCAAATGATATCATCAGGGATCTTTTACTTCTTTTCTCCCAAAGAGAGGACAAAAATGTCCACAAGTAGCTACAGGCTCACATTCTACCAACTGAGCACAGCTCCTAAAGTACCTGTATAAGCCAGATTGAGAAATGAATCTGTTACTGACCCGACCACTGTGACCCTAATGGAAAAGACTGAAGTCATGTGCATTCCCTGGGAGCCAGTGGATGTGGTCAGCCCTACCCAAATCTACTCGAAATGCAGGGAATGGTTCTCAAAGGGAAAATTGGAGATCAATTCACAACAAAGGGATGAGAGCCAGGCAGCAAAAACAATCAACATCCACTGTATTTCACTTGTTAGATGTCCATGATTGACACAGACTCCCTTTCCTGTGTAATTTAAAAAATACTTCCCTGTTTATCATAATGCAACTATCCCTCACCAAACTTAAAGCACAGTTCTCCCACTTCTGGGAGGGGACATTCGAAGTTTTCACCCAGTTACCACATCAATCCCCAATTTAACATCTTGGCAATAGCAACGGGCTGTTTGGTTAGCTCATGGTCTTTCCATTTATGGCCCAACCACAATGATGGAGAGAAAACTGTATAGCTGAAAGAAGAAAAGCCTTCCTAGTTGAAGAGGGGGGTGAGGAAAAAAACCTGGTCTGTGGTCCACATGTTTGACTCAAAGAGGAGAAAGAGGTTCCCTGGTACACCAATCTTGCTGCTCTGATTTTGCTGTCTCTGTGGGAGGGGCACTGAGGGGTGCAGGTTTGGAGAGGTTCAGGGCAACCATAGGGGCTGAGCAATCCTATCCTTTGGTTTGTGGGGGGTTTTCTGGCAATACCGTTCCCTTAATCATTGGGAGGCTTTTCAGTCCGTTTGCATTTGGTCATCCCCAGAGTTATTAACCAGAGCTACAGACCTCTATGACAGTTATGATTCTTGAATGAAGTCCCTGGTGGTGGTGTAGGAGGGGAGGGGTTATCTCTTAGCAACAGGCCCCAGTATTCTGTACATCCCAGGAGCCCTTGGTTCTGCAGCCTCTAGCTGGGCCTCTGCCACAGGGCAATGCAAACTCTTAATCTGGGGTGGGAGGCAAAAGGTCATCTGCCCCTTCTCACTCAAGCTGCATCCCAACGGAAGCCTGCTTATAAAAGAAGCTTCTGTCCAGCTGGCAGGGCACAGCAGGAGGGGTTCAGCAGGGCCTGAGGAGTCAAGTACCTGTCAGGCCCCAGGCTTGTATCCTTCTTAGTTCCCAGCCTCTCTGTCTTCGCTTGAGCTGACTTTAGCTTGAAGAAAAGAGCTGGCTTTTAATTATCTGACACTCTCGGCCATATTGAATTACTGGCCGCAGGCAGAAAGGACCTCTCTGGGCAAGCCCAAATTTTCTTCCTCTCGGCTTTCAGATGGGCTCCTTTAAGCCAGAGTGTGTCTCTTGCTTGTTGGACCTTACTGAGGCCATGGGAAAGACACTGTCAACATCCTGACATTTCTCTATAAATTCCCTAATGTTGCAGGCATGGTAGGTACATGGCCTGAGCTCCAGGGATGGTGGGAGACAGTTTAATCAGCTGTTTTGCTGCTGCTCTGTGACAGGTTCACCAACCCTGTGAGTAGGAAGTGGGGGAAGCAGTGCCAGCTTATGCCCCCCCCTCCTTAGTTCAGCTAATTTCGTTTGCAGGTCTATTAAAAATTTCCATCTCTGATTCTAATTTTCGGTTAGGAGATATTCTGAGTACAACTAACCAGACCCAACTGTAACCAGCTTTAAGCAAAAATGGTAATAGGGGGCTGGGCGCGGTGGCTCACACCTATAATCCCAACACTTTCGGAGGCTGAGGCAGGTGGATCACTTGAATTCAGGAGTTCAAGACCAGCCCGGCCACCATGGTGAAAACCCATCTCTACTAAAAATACAAGAGTTAGCCAGGCATGGTGGCACAGGCCTATAATCCCAGCTACTCGAGAGCCTGAGGCAGGAGAATCGCTTGAACCTGGGAGGTAGAGGATGCAGTGAGCCGAGATTGCACCACTGTACTCCAGCCTGGGTGAAAGAGTGAGACTCCATCTCAAAGAAAAGGTGGGGGTGGGGTGGGGTGAGGGGACAGAATTGATTGGTTTGTGCAACTGAACAGGCCAGGCTCTCAAACAGTGTCTGTGAGTGATGTCTTTCTCCATCTAAGTTTTTCTTCTTTGGGTTGGCTTCATTCCCAGATGTCTCCTCCCAAAAGGAGAAAGAATGGCCCCAGCAGCTCTGCCCTTCTCCATCAGCTTAGAAACCTGATCCCAAAGAGAATGCTTTCTCTCAATCATTCCAGAATAGTCCTGGGGCTCACTGGCTCAACTTTGGTGCTCTGTGTTTATCCCAGGACTGATTTGCCAAGTCTATGTCACATCCCCCAGACCCTGTGGACTGAGAAAGTAGGGAAGGATGGTTCCCTATGGTCAAAGCAGGGTGCTGTCACCAGAAGGAGGACTGGATGCCGGGCTGGCACAGGGAACAGACATCCACCCATATATCCTGTGGAAATGCCAGAAGGCAACAGAACTCTGCGGCAGGTCAGGATGGAGAAGTAGAGCTTACAGGTGTAAGTAAACCTATGAGAGGGAAGCCGACTGCCTGACTAGGGGGAGGACAGAGATGGAGGGCCGCAGAGGCAGACCTCAGGGAATGAGGGTGTTTAGGATGGCAGCAAGAATAGGAAGTTGCAGAACCCAGGGGAAAATCCAAACAAGAAAGCTCACAGCAGCCTGTGAAGATGGAGGGGTCAGTAGTATCAGCGCAGGACCAAGAAGGGCAAGACCCCTGATGACAACTGGCTTGTCTGATCAGCAAGTGATCTGTAACCTTGATCACAGGGCAGTGGAAGCCCGACTGCAGGCAGTTAGGAAGAGGATGTCTGTGAGGAATGGGATGGAGACCCCACACTGTAGGAGAAGGGTGACGGGAAGCCAAAGATGGAGGGGCAGCAGGAGTTGAAGGTGAGGAGGGTTGGGATGCTAGAATTGGTGGAGGGGTGGGGGGACCTTGTGCCGTAAGGGGTGTGGGGAGGATGGAAAATAAAGCACTTGGGGTGAAGGCGGGGCAGGGACACTTTCTGGAAACCCACCCCACCTTTAATAGGTCTGAGAAAAAGATCTAAGTGTCTGGAACAGTAGGGATAGGAGGATGTTTTGCAGAAATCAGGACAGAACAAATAGTGACACATGCAATGTCATTAGGTGGAGTGATGTCTTGGTCACTGCAACATGGTACCAATAGTCCCAGCCTGTGTGGGGGTGCAGTCTGCAAAAAATGAAAATAAACACCTTCTCCAATTTTTACGCTCAAGTGTACAGCTTGATGATTATTTACATATGTACACAACTGTATAAACACCACTCAGAGCAGATAGAGAACATTCTCCACATCACATAAAGCTGCCTCCTGCCTCTTCATGTAGCCCCAAGCGGGGGACCTCTATGCCAACTTCTTCATCATCAATTGTGTCTGTTCTTGAACTCCATCTCTCTGGAATCCTAAAGCATGCACTCTTTGGTCTGGCTTCTTTCATGCAACATAATATTGGATGAACTCATCCATGTCACTCTGTGTACCAATAGTTCCTTTTCTTATTGCTGGGTAGATTCTATCATTGTAACCGTTCTCTACCGTTGATGAACATTTGGGTCGTTTTCAGGTTGGAACCATTATAAATAAAAGTAACTACTCGCCCTCCCCTTTAAAAACCGACATCTTATTCTCTCTCCCTCTTGCTCATATACAGGCCCTCTCACAGGTGCGAAAGCAGCCCAACTCCTCTGGGAGGTCTCCCCTTGCCTCTCGATGCTAATTTCCTCATGGCTGGGGGATGTGAGCTCCGGACTGGGAGCTGGGGTGGGAGCAGCGATATCCTCTTCCTAAGACTCATCGTCTCTCTTCCAGCCTCCTCGCCCCGGGCCGCGGGCGCCCTGAGCCTTCCTCACCCCGCAGGGGGGCTCGCCCGCGGCCCCCCATGAGCGCTCCCGGCTGACCGGCGAGGGGGGCCGCGGTGGAGCCTCCGTGCCGCGGGGGCAGCGGGGCCATGGCCTCGCTGGACCTGCCGTACCGCTGCCCCCGCTGCGGGGAGCACAAGCGCTTCCGGAGCCTGTCGTCGCTGCGCGCGCACCTGGAGTACAGCCACACCTACGAGACGCTCTACATCCTCTCCAAGACCAACAGCATCTGCGACGGCGCCGCAGCAGCCGCGGCCGCCGCTGCCGCCGCCTCCGGCTTCCCGCTGGCGCCCGAGCCCGCCGCCCTGCTGGCGGTGCCTGGCGCCCGGCGTGAGGTCTTCGAGAGCACGTCCTTCCAGGGCAAGGAGCAGGCGGTCGGTCCGTCGCCCGCGGCGCCGCACCTGCTGCACCACCACCACCACCACCACGCGCCCCTCGCCCACTTCCCCGGAGACCTGGTTCCCGCCAGCCTGCCCTGCGAGGAGTTGGCCGAGCCGGGCCTCGTGCCCGCCGCCGCCGCACGCTACGCGCTGCGCGAGATCGAGATCCCGCTGGGGGAGCTGTTTGCCCGCAAGTCCGTGGCGTCCTCGGCGTGCTCGACGCCGCCACCTGGGCCCGGCCCCGGCCCCTGCTCCGGGCCGGCCTCCGCCTCCCCCGCGTCCCCCTCACCCGCGGATGTGGCCTATGAAGAGGGCCTGGCGCGCCTCAAGATCCGCGCGCTGGAGAAGCTGGAGGTGGACAGGCGGCTGGAGCGGCTGAGCGAGGAAGTGGAGCAGAAGATCGCTGGCCAGGTGGGCCGGCTGCAGGCCGAGCTGGAGCGCAAGGCGGCTGAACTGGAGACGGCGCGGCAGGAGAGTGCGAGGCTCGGGCGCGAGAAGGAGGAGCTGGAGGAGCGAGCGTCTGAGCTCTCCCGCCAGGTGGACGTGAGCGTGGAGCTGCTGGCCTCGCTCAAGCAGGACCTAGTGCACAAGGAACAGGAGCTGAGCCGCAAACAGCAGTGAGTAGACCCTCGGGTCTTGTAGATGGTTGTGCCCGTCCGGTCACTGTGCCGCCACAATCACCGTGGGCGTGCCTGAGTGTGTCTGTGTATGTGGCTATGGCTTTGTAACAGGATCTGTGGCCACGAGCATGCACTGATGGTGTGTGGGCCAGAAGTGTCACCATGATGTGTGCTTGGTACTGTAAGGACATGGCAGTGTGACCCTGTGCCTCTTTGTGAAGACTGTGCCTTTCTCTTTCTCTGTCCTAGACAAGCCAACCCTTGCATTTTGGGACCAGATCCTCTTCCCTTTTGCCTTCTAAAGACATAGCTCAACTCTCCCCTCTCCCTTTTCCATCATGAGGTTTTCTGTTTCTGCAGATCATTCCTAAACGCACAAAGATATTATGTCATTTCTCCCATCTGCCGTAACCCTCTTCCCCTTAGGCTACTGCCCCCTTTTCTCTCCACCTTACAGAAAACTCCTTGTATTTGTTTATACCTCGTCTCCAATTTCTTTCCTTACTTTCTCTCTTGAACCCAGTCTGATCGCATTTCCACCTCTACCAGGGTCCCTGGTAGAGGGACCTTCCTGTTGCTAAGGCCAAACCATTGTCTTACTTGGCATATTGGCAGCATTTGACACAGCTGACCCCTGACATGCCTTCTGAGACACTCTTGGGATTTCCTTCTATCTTTTTGTCTCAATCTTCTTCATTTCTCTGGTTTTTAAATGTAGGATTATGAACTACAGATGGCCCCTGACTTACAATGGTTTGACACAATTTTTTAATTTTCCGATGCTACAAAAGCACCACGCAGTCAGTAGAAACTATACTGTATGAAAATGAAAAACAGTATGTACAACCATACTTTTTTTAGTATAGTATCCAATAAATTACATGAGATGTTCAACACTGTTTTTCGTAAAATAGACTTTGTTTTCAGTGATTTTGTCTAACTATAGGCTAATATAAGTGCTCTGAGCACAAGTAAGGTAAGCCAGGCTAAGCACTGATGTTCAGTAGGTTAAGTGTATTAAATACACTTTTGACTGATGATATTTTCAACTTACTATGGGCCGATGGGGATGTAACCCCATTGTAAGCCAAAGAGCATTTGTATATAAATATTATTTATATGTCCCCATTGTGATATAAACTCCATAAAGGCAGGAGTTGTTCACTGCTATTTCCCCAGTACCTAGAACAGGGCCTGGTACCTAGAAGGTGCTCAATAAATGTTGAATGGATGCACAAACAACCGGGAATGCAATTGGGAGTTAGTACACACGTGAGTCTAAGTGTGCCATGTGTTCACGAGCTCCTAGAATTTGGTGCAAACTGTCAGGATACTTCCACATTTGAGTGTATTTCTCTGCGTGTTGATGTGCCTTAGTGTATATTTTTTAATGTTCCTGAAAGTATATTTGACTATGTCGGTGGCACCTCCATGGTTCTTTGCGTGTCTCACACGTGAGCACGTGCCCAAGCTGGAACATGATGTGAGTACACAAACATGAATGTGTGGGGCTGTGTAACAGGGCTGTGTGGGGATATGTGACATGGCTGGTGGCTCTAAGTGTGTGCCTAGGAGTGTGCTGTGTTGGAATGCTGGGTACTGAAGGGCATGCCTGTGTGTCTGAACATGTCTGTGTTTATGAGAGAGATGTGTCTGGTTATGGCATATGGATGTACATGTGTGTGGGGTACATGTGTGTGGGGCTCTGTGTGTGCCAGGAGTGACTGTGTGGAACTGAGTATGCCTGAGTATTTCTGTGGAGAGCAGGGTGTGTAGTTGCATGTCTTGTGTTGGGTGGGTAGGGTGTGAGTGTGTAGCTCGGAGTGCAACGTGCCTGAGTGCATTTCTGTTCTGTGTCATCGTGTGGGGCTGTGTGCTTGGCCTGTTCTGCAGAAACCCATGTGACCATAGGCAGACACCGCAGGCAGCTGTGCAGGTGTCTCCCTGAACTGGCTGGGCTCTCCTTCGGAGGGGATGTGGGCAGGCAGGCCAAGGCTCTGGGGTAAGAGACTGCTCTGGGCCCAGGGAGGTGGTGCAGATTGACCAGTTCCTGAAGGAGACAGCGGCGCGGGAGGCCAGCGCTAAGCTGCGGCTACAGCAGTTCATTGAGGAGCTCCTTGAGCGGGCTGACCGTGCTGAGCGGCAGCTGCAGGTCATCAGCAGCAGCTGTGGCAGCACGCCCAGCGCCAGCCTGGGCCGTGGAGGTGGGGGAGGTGGCGCTGGCCCCAATGCCCGGGGCGCAGGCAGAATGGTGAGTGCCCACATGCCTTCCCTCTTCTACCTGCACACCTGGCCCCCCACAACCTCACCTTTCACATGGCCAAACCTCTCCCCATGATGCCCCATTTGCCCCTTCTTTGGCTTTTCCCCTACGAGCAGATGCTGGGAACAGGGGAGCCCCTCTGATTGGGCAGGAGTGCCAGTGGCAGCCCCTAAGGCTGTAGTGAGATGTGATCTGGTGGCCCCAGCCCTCAGGGGCTATCTCTGCCCATCTCTGCAAATGAGAGCCCAGGAGCCACAAGCTGGGGTTCAGGGTGCTGGATGGGTGTGGGGAGGCATCTGGTGAGCCTGCCTCTCTGGGCTGTCTGTCCATTTGTCCATCTTTCCCAACTTTTTTCCTTCTCTCTCCTCCCCTCCTCTCCATCTTTTACCCTGTTTCCCCTGCTATTCCTGCTCATCCTCTTGGCTCCTCTGCCCCTCTCCTTTACCTCCCACTCTGGGGGCCCACAGCGAGAACACCACGCAGGCCCGGCCATGCCTAGCACATATGCAGTGTCACGGCATGGCTCCTCTCCCAGCACAGGGTAAGCCTCGGGCCCAGCCCACCCCATGCAGCCTACCCTTGCCCTGGAAAGATCCACTGGCCTATCTGGGGCTTGTGTCATCCTCTGCCCCTACCCTCCCTGGCTCACCTGTGTCTGCCTTTCCTCACCCAGAGGGGGCTTTTGGAAAGCAGGGCGGGTGGGTTGCCCTCAGCTGATGGTAGGGGCAGAGTGGGGAGTTTGGGCAGGCCTGGTGCCTCTCACCCCTTACTGTGTGGTCCACCCTGCCTCAGGGCCTCCAGCCGTGTGCCAGCTGCATCCCAGAGTTCAGGCTGCTATGACAGTGACAGTCTGGAGCTGCCCAGGCCAGAGGAGGGGGTCCCTGAGGACAGTGGCCCTGGGGGCTTGGGCACACGGGCCCAGGCTGCCAACGGGGGCTCAGAACGGTCCCAGCCCCCTCGCAGCTCAGGCCTGCGGCGCCAGGCCATCCAAAACTGGCAGCGCAGACCCCGCCGACACAGCACCGAGGGAGAAGAGGGTGATGTCTCTGACGTGGGCTCCCGAACCACTGAGTCAGAGGCTGAGGGCCCGTTGGATGCGCCCCGCCCCGGGCCTGCTATGGCTGGGCCCTTGAGCAGCTGCCGGCTCTCAGGTAAGTCCTGGAAGGGTGGGCAGGGAGACACAGGACTGAAACAGTGAATCTCCTGGGCTCCTGCACCACCCCCTTTCCCAGACTTGCTCACCCCTCCTACACAGCGCCCTTCAAGCCTGGGGCAGGAACTTTTTGACAGGGCAGGGCTGCACTGGCAAAAGTATGCTCAGATTGTCTGTTGCACAAGGATGCCACATCCAGCTGGGGGAGGGGTTCATTCACCTGGTAGGCTCATTAACATTTACAGGAGAGAAGTTGAGTGTTGCCTCCAAACTCTGAAGCCCCTGGTGCAGTGGGGGAAGGCCCCACACAGGTGTGAGTGGGTTGGGAGGTGAGAGGGTTAGGGTCAGGGGTGTAGCTGCACCCCATGTTCTGGGCAGCCCCATGCCTACGTCTGTTTCCAGAGGCCTGGTTTATACTCCAGCACCCCCCAGCTCCTTTCCCTCTCCAAATCTGATGCATTACCTCATGTAGGGGGTGAGTATGAGTGATATATAACCTTAAAAAGAAAGTTTACATAACGGACACCTTTTTGTAAAGTGTAAAATTAGCGATGGGGTACTTCAAAGGACAGGGATGCAGAGGCCCCTTTTCCTTCCCTCCTAGGCTCCAGTACCCCAGCATGCCCATTCCTCTGCAGCTCCTACCCTGCCCCAGCTCCCCACACACTTCCCCACACCAGCCTTGACCCTCCATGCTCACTTTTGAACCCCTGATATTCTGCAGCCCGTCCCGAGGGAGGCAGTGGGCGGGGTCGGCGAGCAGAGAGGGGCAGCCCCTCACGCTCCAACGAGGTCATCAGCCCAGAGATCCTAAAGATGCGAGCCGCCCTCTTCTGCATCTTCACCTACTTGGACACCCGCACACTGCTGCATGCTGCCGAGGTCTGCCGGGACTGGCGCTTCGTGGCCCGCCACCCCGCAGTCTGGACAAGGGTGCTGCTTGAGAATGCCCGTGTCTGCTCCAAGGTGCCTGCCCTGCCTGTCTTCTGTTCCCTGCTTGAAGCCACCTTTCCCCTGGCTAGAATCTGACCCCTCAAGGTCTGGTCTTTGCAACCCTTACAACACTAGTGCCAACCTGGCTTGCCTGAAATGCTCTCATGGGGCCTCCTATCCCAGGGCTGGCCCACCTCCAGCCAACCAAGTTCAGATCCCTTCATCTCCAAGTACCCTTCCCCACCCCCACAGTTCCTGGCAATGCTGGCTCAGTGGTGCACCCAGGCTCACTCTCTGACACTGCAGAACTTGAAGCCCCGGCAGCGGGGAAAGAAGGAGAGCAAGGAGGAGTATGCCCGGAGTACCCGGTGAGGCCTGCAGTGGGTGGGTGGTGGGTGCTGTTGGTCCACAGACCTGGAGTTAAGTAAGGATGTTTCCCAGAGGAGGAGGTGGCCAGCTCTCTGAGTTTCTGGTCATCCCCAGGGGCTGCCTGGAAGCTGGGCTGGAGTCCCTGCTGAAGGCAGCTGGGGGGAACCTGCTGATCCTGCGCATCTCCCACTGTCCAAACATCCTCACCGACCGCTCGCTCTGGCTGGCCAGCTGCTACTGCCGCGCGCTGCAGGCTGTCACCTACAGGTGGGTCCACCTGACTAGAAGCATGGCCCATGCCCTATCAGCCCAGGGTCCCACAAGATCCCGAGGCACGGCATAGTCTCCGCCAGGGTTCTCAAGCAAAGGGACCCAAGAGCTCTATGGCCGAAGGGAAGGAAGCCTTGGCAAGAGCAGAGACCACCAGAGTGGGCGACTCCAGCTTTGTCTTGTATCTCTTCTTTTTATTTTTATTTTTGAAATAGAGATGGGGTCTCGCCGTATTGCCCAGGCTGATTGAGAACTCCTGGGCTCTGGGGATCCCGAACCCTGGCCTTGGCATCCCAAAGTGTTGGGATTACTGGTATAAGGCACCCCGCTGGCCGACCAGCAGTTTTGTCTTTTCACAGGAGTGCCACAGACCCTGTGGGCCACGAGGTCATTTGGGCCCTGGGAGCAGGCTGCAGAGAGATCGTCTCCCTCCAAGTGGCGCCACTTCACCCCTGGTGAGCCCTGGCAGGTTTGGGGGGTGGGAGAGGGGACACAGTTGGTCCTAGTCTGGGACTGAGGACTGAGCAGATCAGAGCCCATTCCACAAGCTATTAGGACAGATTCATACACATTAATCTGTCCATTGAGGCCTTAGGAGCAGGGCTTTAAAATCAGTTTTTTAAAGCTGGCCACTGGTTGGCCAGGTGCAGTGGCTCATACCTGTAATCCCAGCACTTTGGGAGGCTGACGTGGGCAGATCACCTGAGGTCAGGAGTTCAAGACCAGCCTGACCAATAGGGAAAAAACCTGTGTCTATTAAAAATACAAAATTAGCTGGGTGTGGTGGTGCATGCCTGTAATCCCAGCTACACCGAAGGCTGAGGCAGGAGAATCACTTGAACCCAGGAGGCAGAGGTTGCAGTCAGCCGAGATCGTACCATTGTACTGGTGAAACTCTGTCTCAAAAAATAATAATAATAAACTAAATAATAATAAAATCAGACCTGGGGTTACGTCCTGGCTTACTGGCAGTGTCACCTTGGGCATCCCAATCATGTCTTAGTTTCTCAAACTGCAAAGTAAAGGTGGTATTAGGAACTGTGGACCTTATTAGGGCTGTTACTGGCCCAGATGAGATCAAGTACCCAAATCTTGCAGAATCCACAGTAATTGTTCAGTAAACAACAGCTAAAAATCACCAGCTTTGTTTGACATATGAAAGGCGGTTCAGGGAGGTCAGTGTATAAAAGAGCCAGTTGTTGGAGAATCCAGGTTATAAAATCCTTTCTCACTCTGCCTGGAGTTCCTCAAACACACCAGGCTCTTTTACCCCCCCACACTTTGCCTCTCTCCACACGACAGCTCCTCCCGGTCATCCAGTGTGCCTTCTGTAATACCCTGGGGAAAGTGTGTCACTACTCGCCTGCCTCCATCTCCACTGCACCTTGCCCTGACCCCTCTGTCATCGACTTTGCAGGATCATCCTGACTGCTCTGCCCTCATCTCATCTGCCAAGTCCTGCAGATTCTGATTCCCAAGCACTCTTTTTCTTTTTCCTTTTTTGAGACGGGGTCTTGCTCTGTCACCCAGGTTAGAGTGTAGTGGTGCAGTCTTGGCTCACTGCAACCTCCACCTCCCAGGTTCAGGTGATCCTCCTGCCTTAGCCTCCTGAGTAGTTGGGACATAGGCATGGGCCACCATGCCCAGCTAATTTTTGTATTTTTAGTAGAAATGGGCTTTCACCATGTTGTCCAGGCTGGTCTTGAACTCCTGGCCTCAGGTGATCTACCCTCCCCAGCCTCCCAAAGTGCTGGGATTACAGGCATGAGCCACCACGCCTGGCCCTATTTTGCAATAATTTATTTATATTTCGATCTCCTCCGCTAGACAGGTGGTTCTCAAGGCAGAATCTAGTAATGTCCATTTCTGTATCCCTGGTACCAAGTGGATAATAGATGCCAGAGAGATATCTATTGCCAGGGCAAATATTGAGAGATGAAGTATTCAGGCAAGTTTGGTGTGAATGGAAAGGAAAGTTGGGTCCATCAGGAAGGGCCTTGCTAAGGACTTTAGGTTTTTTGCATTTTATCTAGAAAGTACTGGAAGCTATTTGGGGGGACTTCAGATTTTAAGAAAGGGGTTAAGATCAGAATGGTAGTGTTCTATGCCCCCCACCACTCCTGCCACCAAATAGACTGTCCACTCTTTGAGGGTAGGGACCCTGTCTGTGTTGTCACCACTGCACCTCCGGGACCTAGCTCAGTTGTTCTTGACTTGATAACTATTTGCTGAATGGATGTAGGAATGAGGGCTCCCGGTCTGCAGTGTGAAGACATGGCAGGGAGACTAGTACTAACCCAGAGAATGCCAATGGTGGTCTGAACTGTGGGTTCAAGAGTACTTGAAGTCGGGCTCAGTGGCTCGTGCCTGTAATCCCAGGACTTTAGGAGGCCAAGGGTGGTGGATCCCATGAGGACAGGAGTTTGAGACCAGCCTGGTCAACATGATGAAACCCCAAAAGTATAAAAAAATAAGCCAGGCATGGTGGCACACGCCTGTGGTCCCAGCTAGTTGGGAGCCTGAGGCAGGAGAAGAATCACTTGAACCCAGGAGGCAGAGGTTGCAGTGAGCCGAAATCACACCACTGCATTCCAGCCTGGGTGACAGAGTGAGACCCTGTCTCAGAAAAAAAAAGAAAGAGTGCTTGGGAATCAGAATCTGCAGGACTTGGCAGATGACATGAGGGCAGAGCAGTCAGGGATGATCCTGGTTTTCTGATTTGACCAGCTGGGTTGTTGGAGGAACACTTGCCTCAGTCAGGGAGGGGTCCCACAGGAGGAGCATGCTGGGGTGTCAGGCATCCAGAGACTTCTCTGATGACTCCCCCTTCCCATTCTCCAGCCAGCAGCCCACGCGCTTCAGTAACCGCTGCCTGCAGATGATTGGTCGCTGTTGGCCCCACCTGCGGGCCCTGGGGGTCGGGGGTGCCGGCTGTGGGGTACAGGGCCTGGCATCACTCGGTGAGTCTTTCCTTGGACTGAGTTGGGTAGTGAGAAGCAGGCATGGGTGCAATGCTACCCTGTGAAATCCCACAGGGTATCAGGGCTGCATGCGGCCTGGGTGGGGCAGGGGACCCAGGGTGCTGCCTGCAGGGGTGACCTGGGGAGTTTCTCAGCAGGATCCCTCTGCTTCCTCTTCCTAGCGAGAAACTGCATGCGGCTGCAGGTCCTGGAGCTTGACCATGTGTCAGAGATCACCCAGGAGGTGGCGGCAGAGGTCTGCCGTGAAGGCCTGAAGGGACTGGAGATGCTGGTGCTCACAGCCACCCCTGTCACCCCTAAGGCCCTGCTGCACTTCAACAGTGAGCAATGGGGGAATGCAGGGCAGGGTATGACTGTCACCCGTCACAGGGCTCTGTCAGCAGGTAGCCTAACTATCACTGGTGCAGATGGATCAGGGCCTCCAGCCAAGGGCAGAGGCAAGAGGACAGGTTAAGAACACTGGGTCTGGAGCTCGACTGACCTAGGTCCCAGGTCTGGCTCTGCTACTTATTAGCTCAGTGACGTTGGGTAAGTTACTATACCTCTCCAAGTCCTGTATTCCCATCTTCTAAGCTGGGTGAGAAGGATTAAATGAGATGATATGTGGAAGCCCCCCCACCCAGGACAGTTCTCAGGGTGAGGACTCCTTTCTCCCTGGACTCCAGATCATGCCTCCTTGGCTTTCACACCTTTCTAGGATGGGTGAGAGGATTAAATGAGATGCTATGTGGAAGCCCCCCCAGGACAGTTCTCAGGGTGAGGACTCCTCTCTCCCTGGACTCCAGATCATGCCTCCTTGGCTTCCACACCTTTCAAACCACCCACTCCACTGTCAGTCACTCCTGCACCTGCACTGAGGACATGGCACCCAGTGTGGGCTGCTCCTGCCCAAGGAGACCACCAGCCAGGACCCTTCGGCTCCTGGGAGGACCCCATGCCGACTGCGCCAACATGCCTTGACCCTCTTTCCAAGACCTTCTTCCCCCTTCAGCCACATGGCACGCCCTGGACCACCAGAACTAACTGCTCAGCCTCCAGAATCAGGACCTCCCAGTGCTTCTCAGCCACCTGATCTTCCTCCACCTCTCCCTACTTCACGCCCTTAAGACCCCTGTTCCCCAGTGTTTGCCCCACCTTCCCCTCCTTTGTGCTCCAGCCTGGATCCACAAGCCTCACCTCAGCCACTCTTCCTTGTCATTCATACCAGACAATGGTATAGCTTCCCCCTATGTCATGGAAGTTTCCAGAGCCCTTCGACAGCCGGCTGCTGCCCACTCACCCTCCCAGAAGCCACTGCAGCCTCTCTGGTGCCTCAGCCCTATCTGCCTCTCCCTGCATCCAGTCGCCAGTCCCCAGATGGCATGGGTCTGCTGTCCTCTGTCATATTCCTGGTGGCTGGCACATAATTGTCTGATTTCATTAATTAGTGAGAGGAAGGCCAGGCACGGTGGCTCAAGCCCTGTAATCCCAGCACTTTGGGAGGCCGAGGCGGGTGGATCACGAGGTCAAGAGATCGAGATCATCCTGGTCAAAATGGTGAAACCCCGTCTCTACTAAAGATACAAAAAATTAGCTGGGCATGGTGGTGCGTGCCTGTAATCCCAGCTACTCAGGAGGCTGAGGCAGGAGAATTGCCTGAACCCAGGAGGCGGAGGTTGCGGTAAGCCGAGATCATGCCATTGCACTCCAGCCTGGGTAACAAGAGCAAAACTCCGTCTCAAAAAAAAAAAAAAATTAGTGAGAGGAGAGGAGGCAGCTCCATTGTCCAAGCCCCCTGCCTTGCCCACCTTTTCTCAGGCATCTGTCGGAACCTCAAGTCCATTGTGGTCCAGATTGGGATTGCAGATTATTTCAAAGAACCCAGCAGCCCTGAGGCCCAGAAGCTGTTTGAAGACATGGTGACAAAACTCCAGGTGAGGCGTCAACTCTGAGGATGCCCAAGACCCCTACTGGCATCCCTAGACTGGGGCCGGTGACCTGGGTGAGTGTGGCAGGAGGGCCCCACCTGCCTGGCACAGAGGGAGAACTAACCCAGGGTTCTGTCCACAGGCCCTACGACGAAGGCCCGGCTTCTCTAAAATTCTGCACATCAAGGTGGAAGGCGGCTGCTAACCCGGGTAGGGGGCGGCAGGGCCCCTGCCAGCCCCACACCAGGCCTCTCTCTTTGGACCTCGGAGGGACCCTGGTTTGGACTAGACCTTTGGAGGTCACGTGTTATCCCTGGCTTCCAGAGGAGACTGACAAGTCTCCTGTCCTCCTCCTGGAGCAGTAGAGCAACAGGCCTGACCCAGGGCACTGCCTCCCCAGTACAGGGGCTCGGCAGAAGCTGCCCTCCGACCCCCACCCCACCCCAGCTGGAGCAGCCTCTGGCACAGCCAGTGAGGAGCTGTCACCACCAGCGTCTGGTGTTATCACCTGCAGGATCTGCAATAACCACCCCGTGGCTCCTCAGCTGTTCCGGCCGGCCTCTCCTTCCCGAGGCCCAGCCTCCTGGTCAGGAGCCTCTGGGGCCCCAGGTCAATGGGGGCTCCACAAGGCAGCTCAGACTTGGCAAGGAGGGCTCTTCTCCCCAACCCTGCCCCAGCTTCTGGGGGCACCCGCTTTAGACAGCCTGCCTAGGCTCTGGATCTACATTTTCTGGGGATACTACAGGCAGACCTAGGGGCCTGGGCATGTGGTAAAGCTGGGGACAGCAGTACAATGGGGTAGTGGGGGTGGGTTTGGAAAGGAAACAGTCACCCAGAATTCCCCAGGATGAGACCACCCTTCCAAGGTGGGGGATTGCCAGGGAGAGAAAACATATTTATTGCTATAAGACAAGACCCTTCCTCTCAGCCCCACACCCCACTACACACCAGAGCTAAATTCAGAGCTGAAAGGTGCATGTTTCTATACCTACACTCATTCTGAGGGACCCTCCAGAGGGTAAGGGTCCCAGCCCTAGGCAGCCCTGTCACAGTGAGAAGTAGTTCCTGTCCTCAAGGAATTTCTTTCTAATCCAGGTGCTTGGGCAGGAACCTGATGGCCTTTGGGTCACCAGGGCTGTCTGGGAGGGAGGCACGGGGCCACCCTCCGTGCTGAGGCCTTGGAGGAAGCCAGGAGGAGGGTGGCTTCCTTTGCTTCCTTGTCTAATTAGCTTGCTTGAAGATGTGGCCTTGGCAGGGAGCCAGACCCATGGGGCCAAGAAGAGGAAGAGCATCCTCCACAGACTCACTCCCCCTCCATAGTCTCCACGGGCCCAGCGGGCTTAGTGAGGGCTGCGTTGGGGTCTTCTGCCTAGGGTTAGTGCTGAACCTGGGCTGGAGCCACTTGGCTTAGAAGCCACAGGATGCCAGTGGGACTTTTCACTGGCCTTTGCAGTCCCCAAAGTATCAGGTCTCAGCACCAAGGCTCCAAAGGCTCAGGTCTCCCCGGTTCCTCCTCTAAGTACTCCCGTAGTGACTTAGAAGCTGGGGGTCCTGCCAACCTTCATTTGGAAAGTTCTTTCAGACATCTAAACTAGATCTACCTTAGGGTTTCTTTCTCTCCTAGATAGAATGGGCTCCCAGCCCTTGCCATTAGGCTACTGGTCCTGGCTGGAGATGGGTCCCCTCATTACCCAGTCCTTTCCAGGGACCAACTAACAAAACCTAGCTTGGACATGAAGACCCAGCCCTAGGTTACTTTGTAAAGAGTCCTCCAGAGCTGGGACCCCACGGGCGCAGCAGCATACCCAGCTCCCCTAGTGTCACTCCCTAGCTCTGTCCCAGCTCTTGCTATCATGGCTGACTTTTCCTCCTGTGGCTTGTTCTGTCCTTGCCCTTAACCTAAAATACCATGGGTGTTATGGTGGCAACTCCCTGCCTAGTCCTGCACGAAGCCTTGGCTGTATGTGGCACCCCCTGCTTCTACCCCAGAGCAGCTGGCTCCATTGGCTTCCTCCCTGCACCAGCCCTGTCCTCAGGGGTCAGGAAAAAGCAGCACAGCCTTCTTCTCCTCCTCCCTTCATTTGGAAAGTTCTTTCAGACATCTAAACTAGATCTACCTTAGGGTTTAGAGGTGGAGGTCCACTAAGGGCCTGGCTGCTTTGGGTTTGTTGGTCCTGCCTTGCCAACTGCACCCCTTAACTACTGCTCCCTGTGACCCCAGAACCAGAGGTGCTGCCTTCCCTGTCTCCTGGACAAAGCACAAAGGGATGCCCTGCTTGGCTTGACCTTGCCCAACTGAGGGATTTTCTCTGTCCCAGGGACCTTCCATCCCTGAATACAAGGCTCTGGGCAACTTCTGAGTGGTACACACTAGACTGTCTGGCATCAGCCCTAGGAAAGGAGGTTGGGGTGTATGGGCAGTGAGCTAGGGTGACAGAAAGGGGGTGCTGAAAGGACTGATGCTAATTGTACTTTCACACACACACACACATTCATTCATTTCGTGCAACAGTACTGAGCACCACCAGCACTAGAGACAGAAGGATGAACAAGATACCCTTCTGCCTGGGGGGACGTCCACTTCCCATGGGTTTAGCTGTTTCCAAGAAAGCCCCTCAGTCCTCCGCCCTGTTCTGGCTGTGTAAAGGATGTGTGAGAGCACATACTGCACAGGCCCAAGCCTTTGCAGTAGGATTGAGAGGTCAGAGTATCGCATTGCACATGCACCCCAGGGCTGACAGGCTTGTGCACCCCAGCCTTCTTGCATGCTGAGCACTGGCAGCTTTACGGCCTTCGCTCCCCACCAGCCCTTTGATGCTCTTCTTTTGTTCTCTCCTCGGGGATGAGCCCTGCTGCTGAGTAGGGAGCTTCTGCTTGCTGGGAGGCTCTATGCATTCATTTCTTTGGCAACCATACAGCTAAGGCTGAGGATGGAAACAGGGACATTGGGCCTGGCCATCCCTATAAGCACTTCATCCGTCTTTACCCATTCAAAGGGGATCCCTCCACATTTCATACTCAGTAAGATGCAAAAAAAAAAGGAATATCTGAGAACAAACAGCCCTGCTCCAGGCGCCCCAGTATGTGTTGAGGCCCAGTGGGGGTGACCACTTGGTGTTTTTACCACCCCGTGCCATCTAGCCTGGCCCCAGTGCCTACCTGGGAGGCTGGTTTACTTGGCTTAAGTACTTCATGCTTTATTCAGGTTGCTTTCCCACAGAACCAGCAGGAAATGATGCATGTATATGCATCCCTGCGGGGATAAAGAATGGGTGGGCTACCCAGAACCATGGCCTTTCCCCAGCCAGGAGAGACCACCGAAGGATCAGGGTAGCTCCTGCTTTCTTAGTCCTGTAATACTAGAGTCTGAGCCAGCCCCTCAGGAATTGCCTCAAAAGGAAAAAACAAAACAAAAAGGCCTCCTTCCCAAGGCCTGCTACTCCAAGGTTTGGCTCCATCCCTTGCCTTTGGGTCCTGCCTGTTACCCTGGTCCTGGTTTCTAATCTTTTGGGCCATAGATGGGGAGCAGCCCGGGCCCCAATCCCTCTAAGGCGCTAAGTTGAAGGAGACCTTCCCAGAGTGACTATTGGTGCCAAAGTCCCAGTTCCTGGTGGATTTGGGGTAAAAACAGGAGAGATGTGAGTGTATGGCCCAAGTGCCCAGAGAAGTTAACTCAAACCCATGGGACCTGTCCCAGCCTGTCAGTCCCTGATGAGTGTAACTTCCTTCCCCTGGGGGCCTGGCCCTTCTCTCTACCCCAGTGGCCATGCTTTCTCACCCAGCCTTGTACCAGGCCTGCATTTCTGTATATATTGCTGTGTACTGTGTGTGTATGTATTCCTGGACAAGTGTTCATTTGTAGCCCTTGCCTGAGGATAAGGTTTAGGATTGGGTAAAGATCAGAGTACTAGGGCCAACAAAGGCAACTACTCCCTCCCCAACCCCTTGGGACCTCAGCCAGTCCCAAGGCTGCCCTGACAATCAGGCAGGCTCCCCACCTTGAGGCCAAGCCTCCTCTGCCACTGCCAGCATGGCCCAAGGGAGGCTGGGCCTTGGGCTTACCCAGCCTCAGCTCTACCCTGGCGAGGGTCTTATATCCAGGGCAGAGGCCTGAGGTGACCCAGGCTTGCCTTGTGGCTGATGCCAGCAGGCTTGGTTCTAATGGGCACACTGGTGGGGACCTCCATAACTGGCCCCTAGGCCCTGCTTTCCTGCACAACTAGGCTATAATGGGCCTGAGCGTGAGAGGGTAGCTTCCCTAGCCCCAAGCACAGGCAGAGGGGTGGAGAGCAATTTTTGGTTTTATTTTTGTTTCTGAAGTGGTGCCTGTACCTCCAGCCCCCAGGGGGCCTTCCCTGGCCACACTTCTCTGCCCCACCCAGGCATCGCCATCCCAGCACTTTGCTCCATGTCACCCATAAGATGCCCTTTGCTGAATGTACCTGAGTGTATGTATTTAAAAGGACTCACATGGGCATCAGAGAATTTATGACTCTGTATCCAATAAAAAAGATGGTGAAACTGGTATCTCTGCCCCAGGGAAGTAAATGGTATGTGGCCACACTTGTCATCTGTGTCACCATAGTCTTTCTGCAGCTTAAGTGCACAGAGGCAGATAACCCAGTGGAATGAACAGTGGCTCACACCTGTAATCCTAGCACTTTGGGAAGATGAAGTGGGAAAATTGCTCGAGCCCAGGAATTTGAGACCAGCCTGGGCAACAGAGTGAAACCCTATCTCTACAAAAAATTTTAAAAGTTAGCTGGGCATTGTGGCACGTGCCTATAGTGCCAGCTGCTTGGGAGGCTGAGGTGGGAGGATATTGAGCCAGGGAGGTGGAGGTCACAGTGAGCTGAGATCACGCCACTGCTCTCCAACTTAGGTAACCAAATGAGGCCCCAACTCAAAAACAACAAAAACTTGTCTCAGGACTGCAGAAAAGCTACTTAGGTTACTGCCCTGCCACAGCTCAACCCCACTTTCAGTGTGTGCATCCAGAGGAAATGCCTTGGGATACATTATTTCTGACTCTCAGCTGGGAGAGACTGTCTTCATGGGCAAACCCAGCAGCAGTACAACAGGGCAGCAGGCACTGCCCAGCCCCTCCCTGGCTTGGCTGCCTCCTCAGGAGGCTCTAGCCAGCCAATCAGGCTTTGACTGGGGGACACCAAGTTGCTATCATGGTCTGGCCTTGACTTTCCCATTTTATAAAATGCCCTTGTGCCCCTGACTTGATTCCTAGGGTCCTGAAATATTTAAACCAGAAAAAACAATAGGTATTTTAGGCTTAAACTGTGTCTCTAACACCAAGTAAAATGAATATTTAAGTCTCACTACTCTTTGAGCCAGCTACTCTTACCCTGTCATACAGGTGCAGAGGCTCAGAAAAATTAGTCTACCCAAAGACCATCAGGTTAGGAGGAAAGCCAGACTCCAAAGCCTAGACCTATGTGCTTCTGAGTGCATCTAACCAGGAGTGGCTAGGTTCAGAGAATTTTTTTAAAAAATCACTTTCCAGTTTTAGCTAGCAAGCCTCAATGGCTGACAGTGACATCATTTACCACCAACTTTAACAGTGACCAACTACAGCTGGGTGTAGGCCAGCTATCAGGACCAGTGTAAACGAGGAGGATGTTAGATACTGCTGGATTTCCAGCTCCTCAGTGCCAGGCATTCCAAACTCGCATTGGCCACAAGAAAGCAGAAACACCAGGATCACTGGGGACTAAACTGAGAAGACCAGGTGGGTGCTTTCAGTCATCTCCTTAGTGGACTTCCAAGGGATCACCAGAGTTTAAAGAGCATGAGAGACCTCCCTAAACACCCCCCTCAGTCTTGAGTAAGAGGGAACAGAAGACTAAACCAAAAGAATATGGAGGTAGAAGGGGCAGAAAAGGTAATGTAATCCATTTACTCAAACCAGTGAAACCCTGGGAGCAGTATCTGACTAGGCCAAGGCTAAATAAGATGATGCCGGAAAGCAACTCCCTATTGTCCAGCCACTTCTGGAACGAAGAATGCAACCACAGTCAAACTTCCAGACAGGGGCCACTCTAGTGCAGCTCACCCTAGGATGCTCGTCTCCTTGTTGGACAAGTGCATGCAAAGCTAAAATTCTGAGCTACAGCCAGACATGTAAGTACTGTGCCAAAATAATTTACAAACTTAATCCTAAATCTGACACTTTATTTAAATAGCCTCCAGTGAGAAGACAGTGGGCCAATTACTACCCCTTCATTGCAAAATCATGTAACCAAACCAAGGAGAATAAGTGCACCCAGCAGCCAGCCAGTCATGTGATGCATGAGGTGCCTCTCAGTGGGGACGGGGACGACCACGGCCCCGGCCAGCTGCTGGGGGAGCATCCACAGTCGAGCGGGGGTTCTTGATGGTTTCATCTACAGACACGATCAGGCACGCAGCCTCAGAGGCTGCTGTCAGGGCATTGATCCGCACCATAGCTGGCTCCCACACGAAAGCCTCAAAGTTGTCAGCAATGTCCTCGTTGTTGATATCTACCCCATACCATGTGCCCCCCTGAAAGAGTAGAAAAGAAAGGAGGTAATATGGAACTGCACTCAACTTTCCTCTTGTAAACTGGTACTCCAAAAGACACTGCTAGGAACCCTCAGACTGTCTGAACTTGATGGCATTTCCCCGAAGAGTACTGCATCTTCCTGTGGCAACATGTCAGGAATCTGGGGACATCCCTACTCCCGCCAACTCCTCCCTTTATCCCTGGACATACCACACCAGACCTCTGGGATCTCCTCCCAGGCAAGCTGTTGTGTTTTGGGGTGGCATCATCCTCAGGTCACCTGAGGACTATATATATATATATCAAACAATGAGATCTCAAGATAAACAAGAATAACAAAACTACTATCCAATCTCTCATCTCATTGCTTCAATTAAGCCGTTTTATAGATGAAGAAAGGGAGACACAGAGGTAAAGTGACTTCAAGCAAAAGTCCTAATACAAGCCAGAAGCAGGGTCATTCACTCGGTGCTGAGCACTTAACAAACCTATCTATTTAATAAATGGAGAAGTTAAACTCTCAGAAAGGTTGAAGTAACTAGCCCAGGGTCACACTTGGTGGTGAAGCCCCAGCAAGGCCACAGGTAAGCAAGGCTCTGGAGAGCTTCACCACTACACTGATAAGCCCATTCCCTGTGGTCAGTGCATGCTTCCAGGAAGGTGCCGCTGGATTCCTCCTGTGGTTCCATGAGGAGCAATCATACGCTTGGCAGAAGCAATGAAGAAACCCTGGATCTCCAATGCTGACACCATGGCTTTCCCTCTGCCCTCAGAGAAGGCAGTTGGTCAGGCAGACAGGCTGGGTAGAGTTGCAGCCTATCTCCTGGGCCAAGCATGCACAGCTTAAGTAAGCACAGTTCACATTCAGAATCTAGCCCCACCAACCCAAACCCTGAACCCGGGGGAGAGAAAGGACCCACCTGGGCATGTCGAGCCCGTAGCTTGTTGAGAATGTTTGTGGCATCAAAGCCGGCATTGTCACACAGCTGGCGTGGGATAATCTCCAAAGCCTTGGCATATGCCCCAATCAACAGCTGCTGTTTTCCTGGAATGGTCCTTGAGTAATCCCGCAGGTACTTGGAGAGCTCCATCTCAATGGCCCCACCACCAGCCACCACTGAATCATTCTGCAGAGATCAGACCACCTCTCAATGTAAGAGAGCCCCTGGTTCAGGCTTCCATGCTGGGCCACTCAGCAAGTCCCTTTAGCCAAGAAAGAGTGGTTCTTCATTCCTTCCTCCATCCCAAACCCCAGAAGCCCAGAGATGGCCCCTGTCTGGAATATTCCAACCTGAGCCTTATGGTTTCTATTTTCAAGGTCATCTGCAGCCCAAGGACACTGGAACAATCACGAGAATATCTGATTACATTAATTCCAGTTTGCTAACAAAAACAAGTCTTTTTCTTCTGCTTACTCTGTTGCCCATGCTGGGGTGCAGTGGTGTGATCATAGCTCACTGTAGCCTCTAACTCCTGAGCTCAAGGGATCCTTCCACCTCAGCCTCCCAAATAGCTGGGAGTGACTACAGGCATATGGTACCATGCCTGGCTGATTTTTTAAAATTTATTTTTGTAGAGACAGGGTCTCACTATGCTGCTTAGGCTGGTGTCAAACTCCTGGCCTCCAGACCCTCCCACCTCCGCCACCTAAAGCACTAGAATTACAGGTGTGAGCCACCATGCCTGGCTAAAAGAACAAGTCTTAGCTTTCAAGGCAGGATGACCTACTTTTTAAGAAACTGAGGCTCAGTTTCTCTACCATTTGTGGGGCAAATCAGGGCTCACCACACCACCCAGGAAAGGGCAGATTATATAGAGAAGGAATTACCACAGAAATCCAAGGTCTGATCAGCTAGGGGGATAGGGTAGGCTGTGAAGGCAGGAGGCCATCAGCCCAGTACCTTGATGGCTCTCCTGACGATCATGATGGCATCATGCAGGGACCGCTCTGTCTCCTCCATAAACTGCTCAGCACCGCCACGGAGGATGAAGGTGCATGTCTTGGCCTTGGGGCAGCCAGTAAAAAAATTGTACCTATGCCCAGGATTAAATAGTACACACATGAACTTGTCTGCCACCATCCTGCTGTACTGTCCTCACTGCCAGCCCTCCTAACACTCTGACATTCTTCACTCAGATTGCCCAATCCCAACTTACAGACATTTTCTTGCAAAGGTCTGCAGCTATACTACTAGGGCATAAAAGATTGTGAAGTTAAGACTTTAGACCTTCCTGTAATGTTATATATATCTGAGCTCTTTATGACCCAAAGGTGAGACTTTGTAAAAAGAACAATACAAGCTGTGTATCACAGCTGAAAGATGGCAGAAGGTCACACGCAGGCAGGTTTGTGAGCTCAGCCTGGGCCCACAGCTCACCTCTCGCCTCCAATCTGGGTTTCTTCAAACACCTGGCATCGACCCAGCACATCTGCTGACAGAGCATTCACACTGGTCTGGATTGAACCTCCACAGGCCTAAGGAGCAAAGAAGGCAAGATCTAGCAGTGAAGGTTCCCAAGGCCAGGCAGCTTCCTGCCACCTTGTCTCAGAGCCAATTCCCACGCATGCCCCCAGAGCCTCTGCACTGGATTACCCGCCCTTTCCCTTGATTCCAGTCAACCCTTCCCTCTCTCTGAAAGAGCAAAAAACAAAATAGAACTAAAACACTTCAAACAGGACAAGTTAAAAGGAGATAGGGACCCCTTCAATTCAGCTTATACTCCCTCCCCTAAACTAGGGTGGCTTTGGGTCCAGCAATTGAACTCAGGAGCAGTACTTTAAATTTAAAAGCATCTTTTATGTGATGCTCAAAAAAGGAAAGAAATCTGGCTGGAAATATCAATATTTGAGCTTCTCCAGCTAATCACAGCACTACTGCTAGGTTCTCTCACAAACGAGGTTTCTGGACTTGTTTTGGTTAGACTAAAGCAGTTTGTGCTACTAGGTACACACTTGGAAATGGAGTGCTTCCTGGAAAAAAGAGACTTA